CAGCCTGGTCTACATAGTGAGTTCCAGGCTAGCTGGGGCTCCAGGGGGACAAAAGACCCTGTCTCAAAAAGACAAATAATAATAATAATAATAATAATAATAATAATAATAATAATGGGCTGGGCATGGTGGCATGTGCCTGCAATCTGAACTTGGGAGGCTAAGACAAGAAGATTGCAAATTGAAGGTCTTACTTGGTCTATGGAGTGAGTTCACGACCAGCTAGGGAAACTTAAACCCAGTCTCAAAAATACAACAAAGCAGGAAGACTGTGTGCACAAGGCTATAGTTTTATTCCCCATGCCCCCCCCCCTCAAATAACAGTTTAAGGGTGAATTTTAAGCTTTAATTTACCTTAGAGTAGGTTATATGATTTAATTTTTCTCCTCAAATAAGACACAGATTTCTTGTGCTTTCTATGCTTGAAGCATGTTAAAAGGAAATGTCTCTCTGTTTGATTTAAAAAGTATTGACTGACGGTTATTTGAAATTTTGTTTTATTTTAAGCTTTTTTTTTTCTTACTACTTTGGCTTTAGAAGTAGCTTGCTTCATAACTTAGTTATTAAAATTTGTTTAAATAGGTGGTAAATTTTTGTGACACTGTAATCAAATGGTTCAAGTTTGAAATTTATAAAAATGTGTAATGTGATTGTTTTAAGTAATTTTAGGTTTTCTTTACTAAACATGAAATAGAGAAATCATTCTCTGCTTTTTCATTAATGGTAGAAGTGGTACTCAGTTTTGATTGCAGTAAGCTTATTTTTTAATAACCTTGTTTACTTTTTAATAATTTGACCCTTTATTTTGTATCTGTTTAAAACATGAAATATAGAACCACGAGAGAATGTTCAGGCTATAAAGTCATTCAAGTTGGTTCAAATCAGGGTTCCACCATGTATTAGATTTCTGACCTTGGGCAAATTACTTAACATATAAAATACTAGTACTTTCGTCTGTAAAATGAGGGTAAGATTATTAACTACCTCAAAGGGTTGTTTTGGCTATTTATAGCAGGAATCATACATGGAAAGTGCTCTTTGTTGAAAGGTGAATCTGTCATCATTTTCACAAAATCAGAGAGTAAAACCCTGGAATCAGGTTCTCTGTTCAGGTGTAAGGTACTGCTCTGTCTTTAATTTTGCTTCAACTTTTCCCTTTGTGGATTCAAAATAAGAACTAAGCATGAAGTTTAACTGAGATGAAGTTCTTATTGTATATAGTCACTGTAATGCTTCCTGGCGAAACTACCCTCTGATGTTTTAAAATGCATTGCCACATTTTTATTATTAACTCTGTGGCTTCCAAAACGATGAATTTGTCAGCCAGGGCTTTTTTAATTTTTTCTTCCAAGGCAGTTTAAAGCTTGAATAAATTAAGCTGGACCTCCCCCCACACACACACAGAAAAAAAAAAAACAAAACAAAAACCAACAACAAAAAAAACTTGGGTTCATTAATGAAATTGACATGATTTAAAACCAGTTGATAGTTTTAATAACAATGATATACGGACTGGAGAGCTGGCTCAGCGGTTAAGAATACTGGTTCTTCTTGTGGAAGACCCGGGTTTGAATCCCAGCACCCACATGGTAGCTAACAACTGTCTGTAACTCCAGTCCCAGGGGATCTGACACCCTCTTCTGACCTCTGCAGGCATTGCATGACATGGGTGCACTTACCTACATGCAGGCAATACACGCATACACATAAATTAAAAAAAAAAAAAAACAATTATATAAACCAGGCATGGTGGTACACTCCTTTGATCCCAGCACTCGGGTGGCAGAGGCAGGAGGATCTCTGTGAGTTCAAGGCCAGCCTGGTCTACATAGTGAGTTCTAGGCCAGCTGGGGCTGCAGGGAGACCCTGTCTCAAAAAGACTGAAAAAAAAGAAAGAAAGAAAAAAATATATAGTGTTTGATAATTGAGTCTCAAGCAATTGTATACACAAACTTTTTAAAATTTGATTTTATTATATCTTGTATTTCATACAGAATATCTCAGACAATCTGAATCACCTTTATAGCCCCCCCACCACTGGAACCCATGTACTCTGTCTTGGGTGTTAAGTAAGACTCACTGTGCGAGTCCATCCAATTTCGGTCTAGTCAGATCCCTCTCATCTATCTATCCAAACACCTATCCTTTTCTTTCTCTTTCTTTCTTTCTTTCTTTCTTTCTTTCTTTCTTTCTTTCTTTCTTTCTTTCTTTCTTTCTTTCTTTCTTTCTTTCTACAGCGTAAGGTGGGGATTTATTTTCAGAGGAATGAACTGTATACACAAATTTTTAAGTTATAGTGAACTCTTCTACCAAATCATGGGTTTAGACGTAAGTAATAGTCATTTTTGTTTGTTTGCTTGGTTTTTTTGAGACAGGGTCTCCCAGTAGCCCCAACTGGCCTGGAAATCATTATGTAGACCAGGCTGGCTTCAATCTCACAGACATCTGCCTGCTTCTGCCTGGGATTAAAGGCATGCATCGCCACACCTGACTCAAGTTTTTATTTCTTAAAAAGCTTCTTTTTATCCAGGCATGGTGGCACACACCTTTAATCCCAGCACTCGGGGGGCAGAGGCAGGCCGATTTCTGTGAGTTCGAGGCCAGCCTGGTCTACATAGTGAGTTCCAGGACAGCTGGGGCTACAGGGAGACCCTGTCTCAAAAAAACCAAAAAAAAAAAAAAAAAGTTTCTTTTTAAACCATTAGTAGTAATGGAAAGTAAATAGAAAGGAAAAGAAAGAATTGTAAAGTATATTTGAACTATATCTACTTATTTTGTAATGATTGGATTCTTGACAATATAAGAATACGTATTATTGCCAGGCCTGGTGGTGCACACCTTTAATCCCAGCACTGGGGAGGCAGAGGTAGGTGAATCTCTGTGTAATTGAGGCCAGCCTGGTCTACATATTGAGTTCTAAATCAGCTGGGGCTACAGGGAGACCCTGTCAAAGAGACAAAAAAAAAAAAAAAAACCCAAAAAACAAAAAAGAAAAACTTACTATAGTGCACTCATATATTGTACATTGTAGTATTGTATAATTTTTTTTTTAAAGATTGGAAATTTAGCTCAGTGGTAGAGTGCTGACCTTGAGTTCAGTCCCCAGCACAGGAAAAAAAATCACAGAAACAAAAAACAATTGACAATGTTGCATATGAATATATAGCTCCTTGTAGAACAAAGATGCAGATCTGTGCAACTAGTGTGTCATCATTTTGTGTTTGTGTTTTTTATAGTGTGTATAATATATATAAAATTGAGCATGCACATTTTCATGTTTGGAAGAGTTCATAAGAGCTCAGCTAACCAGTTACACCTGAGAGAAGGAAATTTATTTTTTTCTGCTTCATGTTATTTTGTACTGCTTATGTTTTAGAAACCATGTTAGTGTTTTACCTTTAAAAAATTCTAGTAAGAATCAGTGTAAGTAAAAAAAAGTTCTTGATATTTAGACAATATATAAATGTTAGTCCTGGGCAAGAGACATTTTTTACTCTTCCTGTCACTGAAATTGACAATTTAACATACAATTCCAAATATCTATAATGATTAATTAGAAAGTAAAGACAACTAAAATTTGAGAATTGAGAAAAATGTTTTAATTTTTTTCTGTTCCTGAAGTTTTATGAGACTCTGCACACAGAAACCTGTAATTGACAAGACACCTAAAGTAAAAAGAAACAGTTTTGTATGTAGACCATTAGACTGAATCTGTGTAGAGCACAGGTAGCTTTAGATACAAAATCAAAATGAGGAAACCAATTTATACAGAGAAAGCAAGAACTAGCATTTATTTAAGAGTGTCTTTAAGATGCTAGAATCTGCATAAAATAACCTTGTTTAATCACCAGTAAACCCATGAATAGGTTTGTTTTTTTTTTTCGAGTTTACAAATGAGAAAAGTTAAGATCCAAGTCATGAAGTAAATGTCTGGAAGTCCCACAGATAGTAATTGGCAGAGCTGGAATATGAATCTCAGTCCAAGTCCCTCAAACTTGCTGCTCTGCTACAGGGCACTCCTTTAGCAGAAGCAGTGTCCCCTCTTCATTGTACGTTCTGTGTCCTAGCTTCCTGAGTGGTTGAACTCCAGGATTTTTACTTGCTGCCTTTCTGATTGTAATGAATAGTTCTGACAAAATCAGAGACTTTAATTTGCCACGTTTTTGATACCTGCTATACCAGCGAGAATTGAACTATTAAAAGTAAAAAGTGAGAGTTAAAAATGAGAGTTTATTTCTTTTCTGTTTATGAATTTTGGGTTTTTTTTTCAGAACTTTATGAAATCTTCCTCTCAAGAGCGAAAGAACGGTGGAAAAGCTTCAGTGAAACAAGTTCTGAGAATGATACAGAAGGTGTGGGGTTTTCTTAAATAAGAATTTCAAGAAGAAAATCCAGTTACTGAATATAATGATGTGCCAGAAACCATGATAACTGCTTTATGTACATTATCTTATTTAATCTTAGTAGCCTATTTGTCTGTTTATGTGTTTTTTTGTTTTGAGACTGGGTCTCCCTTTGGCCCACAGCTTTCTTTGAATGTTCTATATAGACCAGACTGACCTCAGTCTCACAGAGATATACCTGCCTTTGTCTCCTGAGTGCTGGGATTAAATGCATGTGCCACCAGTCTGGTTTAATAATCTTTAAAGTAGATATATTGTCCTGTATTTTGAATGGAAAATACTGAGACTTAGAGTAGCAGTAAGTTCAAAGTAGAGAAGCTGCGATACAAGCCAGATTTGCTTTACCCCAGAACCCAAGATTCCAGTTACAACAGTGAGCCTAGTGTGATGAAGCATTTTCAGGCAAAGTGTTTATTTAAAGGTTGGTGTTCTTCATGCTCACTTTGAACTCATCTTCCCCTATCTGTTAACCTTCACTCATTTCCTAATATATTGTGTATAACTTTTACTGTGCTTTGTTTTACTGTTTGGTCATTTAATTCATTGGTAGCCCTCATCTTTACCTCTGCCTTGTCAGTTATTTTTTCCTAATCATTTTGAAGAAAAACATTTTTCCTTGTATCATAGTTTGTTAAATTTAGGTAAATTTATTCAGTTATCCATTGTACTTGAATAGTGGGAATCATTTACTTTTAAGTCACTTGTTTATTGTTAGAAAGGATCTCCTTTAAACTGTCTTTGAACTCACTCAGCAGCTGAGAATGACATTGAACTTAATGGTTCTCCTAGCTCCACCTGAGGAGTGCTAGCATCACAGGTGTGAGCTACCATGTCCTGGTTATGTGATGCTAGAGATTGAACCCAGGGCTTCATACATGCTAAATAAGCACTCTCCTGACTAAGCTATGTCCCCAGCCCACTTTTTAAAAATATTTATTTATAGAAAATAAACTTTTTTTCCCTATAAGCAAAACTAAAAATGAATGTATCTTTGGATGAAATAATAGTACTTACCTCAGAGTAGTTTCCTATGAACATATTAAATGCTTTCTTCAGTTTTAGGAAAGTGAATATTAGGGAAGGGAAAACTAAGTTGTTGAAGACTTGGTTTTGAGGATTATGAAAGAATCATCCTGAGGCCTGTTAGCTATTTTAGCTATTTGTGGGTAACTGAAAATACAAGGAAAGTGAAGAGATAAGAAATTCTATAAGCAGAGCTCAGCTGTTAAGAGCACTGACTGCTCTTGCAGAGGACCCAGGTTCAATTCCCAGCACCCACAACCGTCAGCACTTCCAGTTCCAGGGTATTTGTCACCTTCTTCTGACCTCCGTAGGCATTGTACAACATGTGTGCCCTTATACACATTCAGGCAATATACTCATACACATAAAATAAAAATAAATAAAATATTTCTTAAAGAAATCCTATAAGCAAGGTGTAATGCTGCATGACTTTAATCCAGGCACCCAGGAGACAGAGGCAGGCTTTTTGAGTTTGAAGACAGCCTGGTCTATATAGCAAGTTCCAGACCAGTGGGACACATAGTGAGACCTTGTCTCAAAAAAAGAAAAAAGTCTTTATTAGCAGAGCCTCAGTTGTTTCATTCTTTTGTTTTGTTGTTGTTTCATTTTTTGTTTTTTGAGAAAGAATCTTGTTTCATACAGCCCGGGATAGACTTGAACTTGTGAACCTGCTTCCTCAACCTCCTGAGGGCTGGGATTGCAGGTGTATATCACCCTGCATGTCTCACTATTATTTTAATCAAGTTTTTATGAAGTATCAGAATTATTATATAAACTAAGACTGGGGTTATATATAGCCCAGTACTAGAACTGTTGCCCAAAACTAAGAACAAAACAAAACAAAACAAAAAAAAAAACAAAGCAAGAATTACATGAATTAAAATGACAAGAATTGACATCTGGCATTAAGCCTATAATCCCGATACTTGAGGAGGTGGAGGCAGGAGAATCAAGGTACAAGGTTATCATCAGCTAAGTGAGACCAGCCTAAACTACAGGAGACCCTGTTTACAAACAAACAAGAAAAAACACAAAGCAAATTTTCAAGTCGAATTTTTGGGATTTTCATACGGTGTAGGTTAATGGTATTTAGATCTCCTTTCCATCCACACTTTTTCTACTGCCCTCCACCCAACTTAATGTACTCTCATATAAATAACACAGCCTGTAGAGTCTGGTTTGTATCCCCAAATGTCCTTCAGTATAGGTCCATCCATTTTACCCACCAAGAGTTCCACCCTATAAGACAACTGTTTTTTTTCCCCTCCCAGCAGCCATCAGTTGCCTTAGGTTGAGACAAAACATTTTTTCTTATCATGATTAAATAAAGAAAGTTTTATATCAAAATAAATTAATTGAATGTAACGAAGAATTATTCCAGGACTGGAAAGGTAACTCAATGGGTAAAGGAACCTGCTACCAAACCCAAGAACTGTAATACTGAGCACAAGGCACAGAGGAACGCCACATAATGATAGTCAAATTAAAAGTCCTTTAATAGCTGGTGGTCAAAAGAGTTAACACCCAAAAGAACTCTCAGCCCTGAGGGGAGGCAGAGTGGGTTTTACAAAGCCTAAAACCACAATTATATCATGCAACAGGCAGAACCAATAACCATGGTTAGATCAGATCACTGTGGTTACACCAGACTGGGCAGGTCAGTTAACAAAGAGGTTTTCAGTTAATAAAAAGTTTCTGGCCTGGTGTGGTGGTGCATGCCTTAATTCCAGCACTTGGGAGGCAGAGGCAGGTGGTTCTTTGTGAGTTTGAGGCCAGCCTGGTCTACATAGTAAGTTCCAGGCCAGCTTGGGCTACAAGGAGACCCTGTCTCAAAAAGATTTAAAGAAAAAAGTTTCTAAGTTTTGGTTAGGAAAAAATGAAACAATTTTCTCAGAATTGCAGAAACAGTGGGCTCCCTGAAGATGCAGGTATAGCTGAGTACGAGGGCATTCTGCCTGGCAAGTTGTAAGTTTCCCAGTATTACAGAAACTTCTTCCTGGCTAGTTGTATGTTTCCCAGTATTAGAAAAATAATGTACTCCTGAAATGCTTGGCTGGTTGCGGTTAGTGAGTGTGTTGAGGAGCCGGGGAGCTAGGCAGAATCACAGGCAAAAGTCAGCTAGAATAAAGGTAGAAACTGTTGTTGATGTTTTTCATGAATAGATAGCATGCTCTTTCCTTTTAAGCACTTAGGTTTAGGGCTTATTACTTCAATTCGTTCAGTGATTGAGTTGGGTCAGGGTGAAACTGAGGCTTTCTGGCACATTTAGTTCTTCTCAGCTTTCAGATTTCTTAATGAAAAGTGCTGTCCAGCCAGGCATGCCTGTAGTCCCAGCACTTAGGAGGCAGAGGCAGGTGGATCTCTGTGAGTTCAAGGCCAGCCTGGTCTACATAGTGAGTTCCAGGACAGCTGGGGCTACAGGGAGACCCTGCTTCAAAAAGACAAAAAAAAAAAAAAAAAAGGGTTGTCCAATTTTGATTTTAGGCATCTTTGTCTATTGAGATGTAAGACTTACTCTTAAGGACCATGTGACGTATAAAAATCTCATACAGTGAAAAATCAGATACAGACTCAGAGTACCTCCTAATTCCCTTGTGTCATATCTGTTTAGCAATGGAAAGCTCTTTAGGTTTTTTTTCCCTCAGGCCTCAGTACTTTTGCTTCTGTCAATCTCTATTCTAAATTCATTCTGAGTTGGCAAAGGCCCCAAGGACAAGAGTTGCCCACTAGTGTCCACTTAGATAGGAAAGGCCCTTACCTTTCCTGAATTAAAATGCCTTAGACCTCTCTTGTCAGCTCTGAGATCACTAAAAAATATGTTTAAAAAACACTTGAGTCAGGAGTGGTGGCCCATGCCTTTAATTCCAGCACTTGGGAGGCAGAGGAGGATCTCTGTGAGATTGAGGCCAGCTTGGTCTACATAGCAAGTCCCAGGCCAGCTAGAGCTACAGGGAGACCATGTCTCAAACAAAACAAAACAAAACAAAACAGAACAAAACAAAAAGATATACTTGTAATATTATATATATATATATATGTATCTATTGTCTATGTATTTTGAGTGCTGCTCATGTGTGCATGTGTATATATGTGAGGGAGTATTGTATGTGTACATGTGTGTCCATATGTATGTGTATGAATGTGTATGTAGTATATGTACATTGTATATACAGATGCATGGCCCTGTGTGCCACACAGAGACCAGAGGCTGGGGCTCTCCCTGAATTTAGAGTTTCCTTTTTTTGTTATTAGGATAGAAGACAGCAAGCCCCAGTGATCCCCTTATATCTGCCCCTCTCAGTGATGGGGTTAAAGGTCTATAGGGGAGCATGGTGGTGCACGCCTTTAATACTGTTACTCAGGAGGCAGAGGCAAGTGGATCTCTGTGAGTTCAAAGCCAGCCTGGTCTACATAGGGAGTTCTAGGCAGTCAAGCAAATGCTCCTAACCACTAAACCATCTCTCCAGCCCTGCCTGATAATTGTAATTATTTGTATTTCTTTCCCAAGTATTACTATGGTAATAGTAGTCTGTCTCTACAAAGCTAGAAGCAGGGGGCTGGAGAGATGACTCAGTGGTAAAGAGTACTTGTTGTTCTTCCTGAGGATACAAGTTGGGTTCTCAGCACCCACATCAGGCAGCTCACAGTTGCCTGTAACTACAGTTTCAGGAGATCTAATGCCCTCTTCTGGCTTCCATAAGCACCTGTACACAATGACATCTCACAAAGACACACACACACACACACACACACACAAATTACCATATGCCTTTTTGATAAATGTGTAATTCTTAAATATGAGACTAATTTCAGAGCTTAGCATGGTGGTATATACCTATAGTTCCAACATTCAGGAGGTAGAGACAGGAGGATCAAGAGTTCAAGGGGCTGGAGAGATGGCTCAGTAGTTAAGAGCACTGACTGTTCTTACAGAAGACCCAGGTTCAAATCCCAGCACCCACATGGCAGCTAACCACCAACCCTGTAACTCCAGTTCTAGGGTATCTGATGCCCTTTTCTGTCATCCATGGGCACTGCATAACATGGGTGTTCTTACATACATGCAGGCATACCACCCATACACAAAAAATTTATTTATTTATTTATAAAAATAAAATTTATTATTTTTTTTTTCAAAAAAGTGCAAGTGCTGGAGAGATAGCTTAGTGATTAAGAGCACTGGCTGCTCTTCAGAGTACTTGGGTTTAGTTCCCAGCACCCACATGGAGACTGAAAGCCATCTGTAAATCCAGTTCCTGAGGATCCAGCACCTTCTGACATTCACTGGCATTGAATGACACAGGTGCACTTACATACTGGTAATACACTCATAAAATAAAAATAATAAATACAGCATTTTCTAAAATTTATTTTTTGTCTTCACAGTTGCATTTTAACAGAAGAAATAATATATTCCTTATAAGAAAACTGATTGAAAATAACAAATAGGCAGTTTCCTTTCATGATGTCATCAAGGCATACAAAATATCCAGCATTAAATATAAGAAAATGTGTTTATATACTATATATTATATATATTAATAAGGGATAATCAAACAAGAATAGGTAGAAAATATCACACTATGCATGGAAAACTAGTCATGTATCAGGTCCCCTCCAAATTCATCTATAAATTGGATATATTGGTATAGGCTAAATTGAATTTATTGGCAGATACTAAATCATGGAGTATTTTTGTAACATATGAAAACTCAGTTGGTAACTCCAAGGGACATATTAGAAAGGTGTATTTGAATATGAACACAGAGTAGATGCTATGATTCAAAATACAGCATTTTTTTTTTAAAGAAGAGTTTGAGGCCAGCCTTGGTTAATTAAAACTTTTCCCTTGTTGGAGAGAATATAAATTACACCCTTGGAAAGGAATGGGGTCATTTTATCTCAGTTAAGAGAAGTTATCTGACCTTGTCTCCTGGGCCATTTGATTGGGGTCTTATTTGAATAGTTAGAGGGTAGCTCACTGTCTTAAGGTAGTAAATCTTAAATGCCTCTGTCTTCCCTGAAACTGGCAAGGCCATTAGGATTGAGGCTCTAATTATATGTATAAGACATCACAAATTATTGTCTGTGGTTGCTGAAGCCTGTAATCACAGCACTCACAAGGCTGAGGCAAGAGGGCTGCTGTAAGTCTAGGTTTCAGAATGAGACCCTGTCTCAAAAAGGAGAAGGTGGTGGCTGAAGATGTAGCTCAGTTAATAGAGTCCCTGCCTGTCATGCACAGGGCCTGAAGTTAATCCCTAGCACTAAACTAGGTGTGGTGGTACAGGCTTGTGATCTCAGCATGCAGGAAGATTAAGAGTTCAGGGCCAACTTCAGCTACATAGGGTATTGAAGTTTGAAGGTAGCCTGGGCTACGTGAGAGCCTATCTCAAAAAACAACAAAGGGATGGGGGAAAGAGACTAAGTTCTAGCAATAACTAATTTCTTGAACATTTTTGATTGTTCAGCTTTTCTACTTGCCTTAAATAACAGGCTATGTGATGGGTCTCTTTAAAAAATGAAGTTGTGCTTGGTGTGGTGGTGCACACCTTTAATCCCAGTACTCTGGAGGCAGAGGCAGAGGCAGGCAGATCTCTGTGAGTTCCAGGCCAACTGTGGCTACAGGGAGACCCTGTCTCAAAAAGACCAAAAAATAAAATAAAATAAAATAAAATAAAATAAAGTTGTTACAGCCAAGTGATGGTTTATATTTAATATACTTGATAAATACAGGTATATCTGTTGCTGACCGCGAGGCCAGTTTGGAATTAATTAAGTTGGACATATCCCGTACATTCCCATCTCTCTACATTTTTCAGAAGGTGAGATTCTCTAACCAGATTTTTTATTTTATAACTACTTTTTTAAATCTTTCAATATCAGTGGGAGAAGATTCTATAAATATGTAACTATTATTTTTAAAGGGAAACTAATAAGTTGAACCTTTATATAAAAAGTGCAAAACTAACAGAAAAAATTTTAAAGAAATTTCTATTTTGTTCCATTGAGTAAAATACATTGTAGTTAGCATAGCACATATCTGTTATGTAGCAGACACTTAATACATTTTTGTTACAGTCAATCTCTTAGTTTTACTTTTGATTCTATATTTGAATTGTTAATGGATTTGCCTTGTTAAAATTGCCCAGAGTGAATGTCATCTTCAATAGTTAACATTGAAATGTAAGGAAATAGTTTATTTACAACATAGGTTATGTGACTGATAAACATTTTTATTATTGGGGCCAGTGAGATGGTTCATTGGGTAAAGACACTTGATGCCAAGCCTGACAATCTGAATTCGATCCCAGGAATGCACATAGTGGAAGAAAAGAATCAGCTCCCAAAGGCTGTCCTCTGACTTCCACATGCATGCTGTGGCATGTGCGTACCCGAACTCATACACAAATAAGTACTTAAAATTATTATGAATGATAAAAGCATTAATGCAACCTAATTGAGTGTAGCTTGATGACTTTTTTTGTGAAATTGTATTATATAAAATGAAATGGGCGGGGGATATAGCTCAGTGTAAGAACATATGCTTAACATACATGTGTAAGGCCCTGGTGCGCACGCACACACACACACACACACACACACAAAGTACATATATAATAAAATAGAAAAAAAATTAAAAATAGGGAAACAATTTGTATTTATCATACTTATTATACCAAATTAAGTATGTGTAATTGTTCACAAATCATATACTTGTATTCAAGTTTATATATTTGACTTTTATTATTCAAGATCAAACTTTTTTATTAATTTTTAAAACATCTTGATAATGATTAAATACACTAGGACTAGTTATTTAAGGAATGTTACAGTTTTTAAATGTTTCATGAATTAACCTAGAGATAATTTTAGTTTCAAATTCATTTTTTTCTTCTAAGGGTGGCCCATATCACGATGTCTTACATAGTATCTTAGGGGCCTATACATGTTACAGACCTGATGTTGGCTATGTAAGTATTTGTTTGCTTGATTTTTACATATATACATTTTGTCTATACTCTTATTAAAATATCTCAAGTTGTTTTAGACATTTACAGATACAGAGTAATTATCTGCATCTGTCTTTTGGGGGCTTATTAGTTTACCTAGAAAGAAAGTTTCCTGTCTCTTGCTGAAGATTTTAGACTGGCTGCCAGCTTTCTGGGAAGGCTGCTAGGAGAGTTTTTCACCTTTCATTTTGTAAGCTTATTAGCAGCTCTGCTATTCATGTGCCTTTGCCTATCTGTATTTCTGTTTTTTCTTTGACTATACCTCTGTAGAATAAAATCTCCTTATATTCTGTCAGATTAATGAAAAGCTAGGTACCTGTCCATACAAAATGGGGGGTGGGGCTCTCATTTTACAGATTTAACCTACCCTATTTATAACCCTCAGTTTTGAAAGTGCCTCATAACTTCCGTTCTGGAGCTATCTTGTCTCCTGGCTAAATTGGCTTGCTGATTATTGACTTTTCTGTAGACTTTTGTTTCAACATCTCCACTTAAATTAAAATTTCTAAAATGCTATTGACATCTTTTACCTCCTGTTTATATCTTTTCCCATTCTCCTTGTTCTTCTAAGATGATATTTATATTTTCATTTACTGTCATGTTAGTTGATTTGGGGAAGAAACAAACTAAAAAAAAAAAGATTGAATTTGATTTTCCAATGTTTAATAAGAAGTTATGAAACTTTCATCTTACCTTTCTCTTAAAAGAATTGTAGAGATTTGCTATAAAGGTGCTTGTCTGGTGCAACTTTGTTCTGATGCATGTTAATTTGTTCATTTGTGTACACAGATATTTATGTGCTTTTCATTATTATGATATGGCAGCCATTGTTCTAGGCACTTTAGATACTTCCATGCACAGAAGATTGTTATGTTTCCCAATGATTCATAGAGAGGAAGAAACAGAAAAGTAAATAAACAAATAAATTTTATCATATTAAAAGGTGATACAGGGGCTGGAGAGATGGCTCAGTGGTTAAGAACACTGACTGTTCTTGCAGAAGACCCAGGTTCGAATCCCAGCCCCCACATGGCAGCTAACAACTGTCCGCCAGCACCCACATGGCAGCTAACAACTGTCTGTAACTTCAGTTCCAGGGGATCCGACAGCCTCTTCTGGCCTCTGCGGGCATTGCACAACATGGGTGCACTTACCTACGTGCAGGCAAAACACACATACACATAAAATAAAAATAATAAATAAAATATTTTAAAACGTGATATAGGGAGAGTGCAGTGTAGTAAAGGAAGTACTTGCCAGGTCTGCATGGAAAAGAGTATACTTTGAGCAGAGTCTTTACATTCTAATTGCTCAGATATTCTACAAAAGAATGACAGAACACAGTGTAGCCTTTGAATTTTTTCAGTTTACATATAAATTTTTGTCATGTTTTTATAGAAGATTCAGTTTTTAGCATCAAATATCTTTCATTTCTTTTAAAATCTGTACAGTGGAATTTAAAGATTACTATTTGCAAGCTGGGCATGGTGGCACATGCCTTTGATCCCAGCCCTCAGGAGACAAGGCAAGAGGATCTCTCTGTGATTTTGAGGCCAGCCTGTCAATATAGCCAAGTTCCAGGCCAGCTGGGGCTGCAGGGAGACCCTGTCTCAAAAAGACAGAAAAATTAATTTAAAAATAGAAAAAATAAAAACAAAGATTACTATTTTCTCCTGATTAGATTCAAATTAAAAAACTTTTTTTTGGTCTTTTTAAGACAGAGTCTCCCTGTAGCCCCACCTTGTCTGGAACTCACTATGTAGACCAGGCTAGCCTCTAATTCACAGAGCTCCACCTGCTCTGACTCCTAAGTACTGGGATTAGAGGTATGGGCCACCATGCCTGGCCTCAAATTAAAAAAACAAAAATAGTGAGTGCACCCATGTCGTGCAGTGCCGCAGAGGTCAGAAGAGGGCTTTGGATTCCCCTGGAACTGGAGTTAAGGACAGTTCATAGCTGCCATGTGGGTGCTGGGAATCGAACCTGGGTCCTCTGCAAGAGCAGTCAGTGCTCTTAACTGCTGAGCCATCTCTCCAGCCCCTCAAATTGAATAATTTTGAAAAGAAGACTAGCACAGGGCTGGAGAAATGGCTCAGCAGTTAAGAGTACTGGTTGTTCTTGCAGAAGACCGAGGTTTAGTTCCCAATACCCACATGGTGGCTAACAACTATCCTTAAGTCCAATTCCAGGGAATCTAATGCCCTCTTCTGATCTCTGTGGGCATTGCACAACGTGGGTACACTTATACACATGCACACAAAACACTCATACACATAAAAAATAATTTTAAAAAAAGATAAAAGATATTGCCACAAATGACATCCTTTTAGTATTTCACACAATAAATTGATAAACAATACAGAATATTCACAAGAATTCGACTTTGGAGACATGGTGAAGTAACTATTTTTCTTTCATTATGTAGAAGCCTGATACCATGATGTCTTTGAATCAGCTTAAAATACTCTATAAGAGCCAGGCACACGCCTTTAATCCCAGCACTCGGGAGGCAGAGGCAGGTGGATCTCTGTGAGTTCAAGGCCAGCCTGGTCTACATAGTGAGTTGCAGGCCACCTGGGGCTACAGGGAGACCCTGTCTCAAAAAGACTAGAAAACAAACAAACAACAACAAAACAAATGAAAAAACAAGCCTGAATGCAGACAAACCAGTTGTGGTTGAAAATACACTCATGTATGAGGAATTTCATCCTTTCTTGTTTTCTTAGCATTCACAATGTCCACATATAGAATTTGAATCATTTGACAAGGCTGTGGATGAATTTTATTCAAAAATAGAAGGTCAGAAAATTGATTTAAAAGCTTTGCAAGAGGAAAAGCAAGCACCAAAGAAATTAGATAATGTCTTAGCGGATCATGAACACAGGTTAGAAGCTCTTCAGCAGGCTCAGGAAATAGACAATCTGAAAGGAGAGCTCATAGAAATGAACCTGCAGATAGCTAACACAGTCTTTCAGGTAGTTCGAAGTGCTTTAGCCAACCAGATAGACTGGGCAGAAATTGGAGTCATTGTGAAAGAAGCTCAGGCTTAAGGAGACCCTGTTGCAAATGAAATTAAAGAATTAAAACTGCTCACAAATCATGTTACATGCTGCTAAGAATCCCATACTTGGTGTCAGAGGAGGAAGATGATGATGATGGTGATGTCAGTGTTGAGAAAAATGAAACTGAACTACCAAAAGGAAAAAGCAAAAGAACAGACAGTTGCAGAAGCCTCAGAAAAACAAGCTATTGCTTGTTGATGTGGATCTCAGCCTGTCTGCCTATGACAATATCAAAAAAGTATTATGATCACAAGAGATATACTGCTAAAAAAACACAGAAGACTGTTGAAGCTGTGGAGAAGGCATTTAAATCAGCAGAAACGAAAACAAAGCAAACTTTAAAAGAAGTACAAGCTGTTACCTCTATTTTGAGAAATTTCTGTGGTTCGTTAGCTCAGAGAATTATCTAATTATAGGTGGATGAGATAATCAAAAGCATGATATGATTTTGAAAAGATACTTGACCCCAGGAGACATTGTTGTGCGTGCTTATCTTCATGGAGCTACCAGCTGTGTAACTAAAAACCCAACAGGAATTCATTGATGGAGAAACGGTTTGGAGAACCCGTCCCTCCAAGAACATTGAGGCTGGCATAATGGCACTTTGCTACAGTGTTGCTTGGGATGCACGAGTTAGCACTAGTGCTTGGTGGGTGTACCATCAGGTGTCTAAAACAGCACCAACAGGAGGGTATTTGACAACAGGAAGCTTCGCGATAAGAAAAATGAATTTCCTTACTCCTTCATATCTAATGTTGGGGTTTAGCTTTCTCTTTAAGGTAGATGAGCCTTGTATTTGGAGACATCAAGGTGAACGAAAAGTCAGAGTACAGGATGAAGATTTGGAAACACTGGCAAATTCACAAGTGAACTCATAAAAGAAGAAATGGAACAGCTAGAAGGAGGTGACACCAGCAGTGAAGAAGATAAAGAGGAATTATACTCCTGCAGAAGTAGAACTCTTGACTCAGGTTGACCAAGAGGATATTGCTTTTCAGAGTGGTAGAGATGAACTAAGTGAGGAATTAATTCAAGACGAAAGCTCTGAGGATGAAGGAGAATCTGAAGAACTTACAAAGGATCAAGAGCCTATTGTTGAAATGGAGGATGAAGATTATCCTGATACTACCATTGATCTGTTCCACCTTCAAACCCAAAGGCCTCTCTAGAAATTGGCTTCAAAAGAAGAATCTTCTAATTCAAGTGCCAATACGTTATAGAGCTGGAGACATTTGTCAGCAAAGGAAAGAAGAGAAATGAAAAAGAAGCTTCCAACTGACTCAGGGGATTTAGAAGTGATAGAAGGAAAGGTCAAAGAAAAAGAGAGTGCTGTGCACACTGAAACTTACCAGAACACAAGCAAAAATGTTGCAGTGGGGCAACCAATGAAAAGAGGCCAGAAGAGGAAAATGAAAAAAATGAAGGAAAAATACAAAGACCAGGATGAAGAAGATTGTGAACTAATTATGAAATTGCTGGGGTCTGCAGGTTCAAACAAAAAAAGGGAAGAAGGGAAAGAAAGGAAAAATGAAGGATGAACCCATGAAGAAACAGCCCTAGAAACCCCAGGGGTGGACAGAGAGTTTCAGTCAGCATTAAGAAACTCCATCTCTTCAAGTTGTAACTCACTAGTTACAAGACCTAGCTGTAGATAATCTGCATGATGACAAGCAAGAGCAAGATCTGTTTGATTCTTTGACAGGCCAGTCACATCCTGAAGATGTACTGTTTGCCATTCCAATATGTGCCCCTTATACCACCAAGACAAACTGTAAATATAAAGTGAACTTACTCCTGGAGTTCAGAAAAAGGAAAAAGCTGCAAAAACAGCCTTGAATAGTTTTATGCATTCCAAAGAAGCAAAAGTAAGAGAAAAAGACTTATTCCACAGTATAAAGGACACAGCTTTATCAAGAAACATTCCTGGCAAAGTGAAAGTGTCAGTCCTTAGTTTTCTGAATGTAAAAAAAGAAATAGGCAAAATGAAGTCCTAAAATACTGAGAAGAGTGAATTTTACAGCCTTTTGGAAGTTCAGAGATGCAAATACCATGTTAACAGGACTTGCATACCACATGGCCATTAACAGGACTTCCATACCACATGGCTGTTAACAACTGCCTGTAACTCCAGTCCCAGGGGATCCAACAGCCTCTTCTGACCTCTGCTGGCATTGCATGACATTGGTGCACTTACCTACATGCAGGCAATACATGCATACACATAAAATAAAAATAATAAAATAAAAGATGAACTGCATTTTGCCTTGCTATATTCACCAAAAGGCCTTAATTCTTTTTTCCAGTTTTATATAGAAGAAACACTATTATTATAGGAGTCCCTAAAATACTTGTGAAATTAAAATGCCAAAGCTATACAGCTATAAAATGTAATTATTATACATTTTACTGATATATTCTACATATACATTTATACATTTTACTACATATATGTTCTTGCGGTTAGTACTAAGTGCACATTTCATGATGTAAAGAATGTGAAGTGGCAAAGTTGCTTAAAATTACTGACTTGGAGGTCTGCTATGTATAACATCTAATACATACATATTCAGGCCAATCACAGGGTTTTTGTTGTTGTGGGGGCAGGTAAACATTTAGGATTTGTGTCTTGAAAATGTTGTCAAATGTAGACAAAATGCAAAAAAAGAGAAAAAAAAAAAGGCCAGGCATGGTAGCTCAGGCCTTTAACAACCCAGCACTTCGGAGGGAGAAGTAGGCAGATCTTTATGAGATCAAGGCCATCCTGGTTTATATAAGAAGTAATGACAATAACAACAAAAACCCAACAAAGTAAAGATAGGGTAGGCAAACCTTTCAGAGTAATTGGTTGGAAACAACACACATATGTCAGTGCAATTACTCTTAATGATTGCCTTGTAGAAGTCCATTATACAAAGCTCTACCAGAAGTTCCTCACTTTGGGGTTTTTTTTTTTTCTTTCGGTTGTTTTGAGACAGGGTCTCCCTGTAGCACCAGCTGGCCTGGAACTTACTATGGAGACCAGGTTGGACTAAAACTCACAGAGATCCACCTGTCTTTGCCTCCCAAGTGCTGGGATCAAAGGCATGCACCACCACGCCCTGCTTCCTCACTTTGTCTTTTGTGTATTTTTTTGTCTTTTTGAGACAGGGTCTCCCTGTAGCCTCAGGTGTCCTGGAACTCACTATGTAGACCAGGCTGGTCTTGAACTCATAGAGATCCACCTGCCTCTGCCTCCTGAAAGGCAAGTGCCACTATGCCTGGCTTTACTTTGTTTTTAATTAAAGGTGCAGTTGCTAAAGATAACTCACTAGCCTTTCATAATGTAAATGAATCTTTTCCCAAATGTCTTCCACCAGTTCCATTATAAATGTTGTGTTGCACCTGGGCTATCCCTGTTCCCATTTCTTTGTTCAAACTGCTTTTTCATTTTGGAATATTTTTTCATTTCTTTCTCCAGCTTCCCCACAAATACAGTCTACTTAACCCCTACAACCTCTTCTCTTGTGGAATTTTAGCAATATATTTCATGGACCTCTTTTATTCTTAATTCTTTATGTTATACTATGAAAATAATTACTTTATCTTCATTGAACTTTGTAATTTTGAAAGAATTCAGACTTAGAAGAAATGAAAGCTAGTTGATACACTGAGATAGGCTTTTATAGCAAATAAGAGCTGATTTTGTTTTTTAAAAATTTGCCTGACTTAATAAACCAGTATTACTTGAAGAAATGTACAATTTGGGAAATTCATAACCATTGTGAGTTCTTAGTAGTTACTTTTGCCAAAAAAAACCCAGTAAATTCTTTGTAATGTCACTTTGTCATTTTTTAGGAGTGCAATTGAATAAACTGCATAATTATTACTATAATCCATATTTATTGTCCCTTCCTGTTGAAGGTCCAAGGAATGTCCTTCATTGCAGCAGTACTCATTCTCAATCTGGAGGAGGCAGATGCCTTCATTGCATTTGCAAATCTCCTGAATAAGCCATGCCAACTGGCCTTTTTCCGTGTGGATCACAGCATGGTATGAACATTCAGAATGGATTGTGTTTTCTTTCACGTTTCTGTAGTTTGAATGCCTGTTGAGAGTAAAAACATTAAAAGATGGAGATAGTCTGATCTAATTTATGAAGTATTCGTTGAATTACAATTTTAGGAAAACTTCATGAGACAAGTCAAAAAAGAGCTGTTTATTAACAAGATGTTTCTACTAATGTACAAAGATTTATTTCTCTTTCTACAGTAAGTTGTTTTGTAATTTTGTTGATTTTTTTTCCTGTCTGTAGATGTTGAAATATTTTGCAACATTTGAAGTATTTTTTGAAGAAAATCTATCCAAACTATTTCTTCATTTCAAGTCCTATAGTCTTACACCAGATATATACTTGATAGATTGGTAAGTCATTAAACAGACATAAAAGTAAAAAGAAAATAAAGTACAACTTTTTGTGTTTTAGGAAGTATAGTAAATCTCATACACAGGATTATATATAAAGAAGAATCTTCCCTTACCAAGAAAGAAGTTCACACATTTTTGTAAGAATGTATTTAAAATATAGACTGGGTTGAAATAAGTTTCTGTTTGTTTCTTAATTATAAAAGGGAATAGGGGAGGGGATGGAGAGATGGCTCATGGTTTAGAGTATATACTGTTCTTGTACAGGACCCAAGTCTCGGTTTCCAGAGCCCACTTGGGGTGGCTCATCACAGCCTGTAATTCTAGCTCCAGGGGATCTGATGCCTTCTTCTGGCCTCTGCAGGCACTCTATTCATGTGCACAAACCCCACCCTTCTCCTTCCCCTCACCCTCACAATTAAAAATAAAATCTTAAAAAACTGAAAAGGATACCTCTTCAGAGGGGGCGAAAGTTAGAGTAGCAAAAGTGCCATTTAAAAAAATAAATAAATAAGAAAGAGTACATGAAGTTATCAGAAAAAAGTGATGGGGAGATATGGGAGGAGTTAGAGGGGAGGGAGTGGGCATGGGTTTGATAAAAACACCTTATATGCATGTATGAAATTCTTAATAAATGATTTAAAAACAAACAAACTGAAAAGCACCCAGCACTCAAGAGGCAGAGCTAGGCAGATCTCTGTGAGTTGAAAGCTGGCCTGGTCTACATAACAAAATTCCAGACCAGCTAGAGTTACACATAAAATAAAAAAATAAAAAAATATTTTAAAAGATTGTAAATTCATGAAATGTCATTGCTTATTGCTTAATTTACCACTATTCAAGGTTGAGGAAAAACAATTTATTTACCCTTTTATTCCTATGCACTGCTTGAGTCAATGAGTCACTGAAGGAAACATTTTAGTAACTGTTTTCCCCTTAATTTCAGGATCTTCACATTATACAGCAAATCACTACCACTTGATCTGGCCTGTCGCGTCTGGGATGTATTTTGCAGAGATGGGGAGGAGTTTTTATTTAGGACTGGATTAGGAATCCTTCGGCTATATGAAGATATTCTTCTGCAGATGGACTTTATTCATATAGCACAATTTCTTACTAAATTGCCAGAAGATATCACATCAGAAAAGCTTTTCAGCTGTATTGCAGCCATTCAGATGCAGAATAGCACCAAGAAATGGACTCAGGTGGTGTGACTTTTTTTTTTTAACTTCTAATAGTTGAAACAGTCTATTGATGTTTTGTAAAGCTGTTATCTGTACTTTAAAAATATTTTTTTTTT